CGGCGGCGGCGGCGGCGGCGGCGGTTGTGGTGGGGGAAGACAGACATGTGGTAAGGGAGACGTACGGGGAGGTGTGCATAATTTAACACGTTATGCGCTAACCTAAATACGTCACCTAGACTGGTGCTGTGTCCCTTACATACGTCACGTAGACTCAGTGGTAGAAATTAACTTTTGAACAAGGGAGTCCAACGGACTCCCTACCCTCAAAAAGAGGGAGTCCGCAGCAAAATGAGGGAGTCCGCAGTCTGAGGTTCAAAATTAAAGATATTAACAATAACGCATGTGCTCATTTATAAGATTCATGCAGTTGCACGTCTGCCAAGTTTGCTTTGGACATTAGCTGAACAAATACAGTAATTCCGCGAGGCCGTGCTCCGGAACGAACTAGTTAGTATGGCAGAATTTTCAGGAGTCACATGGACTCCTGCATATGTCAAATCAGGGAGTCCGACAGTAAATCAGGCAGTATTTGACTCCGGACTCCCGTTAATTTCGCACGCTGCTAAGACTGGTGCTGCGTCCTTTGAATACGTCACGTAGACTGGTGCTGCGTCCCTTGAATACGTCACGTAGACTGGTGCTGCGTCCCTTGAATACGTCACGTAGACTGGTGCTGCGCCCCTTGAATACGTCACGTAGACGGGTGATGCGTCCCTTGAATACGTCACGTAGATGGGTGCCGCGTCCCTTGAATACGTCACGTAGACGGGTGCTGTGTCCCTTGAATCCGTCACGTAGACGGGTGCTGCGTCCCTTGAATACGTCACGTAGATGGGTGCCGCGTTCCTTGAATACGTCACGTAGATGGGTGCTGCGTCCCTTGAACATGTCACCTAGACTGGTGCTGTGTTTTGTTGGCAGTTTGACATCCTTACTTTCTTCACAACTTGTTGTTACAACTTGATACTCTTATGTGAGGGCACGTCACTCACGCAGCTGGTAGCGTGTCACCACCCTCATTCTCCCATCTTTCATTCTTTCGTCCAGTCGTGGTGGTTTGGTGGTTTTGTGGCTTGGTGGTTTGGTGGCTTGGTGGTTTGGTGGCTGCGGTTGGTTTGGTGCTTTGGTGTTTGATGGCTTGGTGTTTGGTGGTCTTGGTGGTTTGGTGGTTTGTGGTTTTGGTGCC